TGTGTGTGTGTGTACCGTCAAATCAGATCTGACTGGTACTGGAGGAGATTGTCCCTCCTTTCCCGGCAGAGCATCTGGTGGATTCGAACCATGTACCTCTGGGATTGCAGTGCAGCTTCTTGCCACTACGCCACCAGAGCTCCCCTAAAAGCAGACTATCTTAACTGGGCAGACAACAGCAACAACAAAAAACTTGGTACAAATTATCTTCTTACCGAATTTCTATTTGTCTTATTATGAAATAACTGAATTTATAGTAATATAAAAATTCTGACTATTGTCCCTTTTGTGCTTTAAAGCTTACCACTCTCTAATACTAGTCACTGGATCTTTAGCACCCAAGTGTCAAGAAGCCCACTGAAATGGATTTAAGTCTTATCTAGTTAAATTAAGATCTTGTTCCTTATTTGCAAGGAAACTATCACTCCAAGATAAAATGCATTGAAAAAGAAGGAAAATCAATGTATGATATTTAAAACTTAGAATGGGATTGGTTAAAAAAGGTAAAGGGGGAAGGTCCAGTGTGAAAAAAACAGTGTTGATGAACTTTGTATGTAAACCAGTATAAAATAAAATTTAATAAAAGATAACATTCATATAATTAATAATTCTAAATTTTTTAAAGCTTGAACGATTATTGGCAGTAACTTATTTTTCCCCTTGTAACTGAGAAAAGGGATGTGTGCGTGGGTGCTGGTTGTGCTTGCTTGCATATGTGGTGTCTGTTTATTGTGTAACTATTTAATTAGCAACAGAAACAATTTATGTTTACATTCTCCAATATGTTTTTTTCTATTGTACTGTGCCTTCACATCTGAATATTGACAGTTACAGTTTAATCAGTTTTATTGTTTTCTTCTGAGCACATTGAAATTTTTATAGCTTGGCAGAAAAAAATCTAGGTGAAGCTCTAGCAAGGAAGTCTACACTTTTAAGATTGGACATGTGTACCTCATACCAGCTAATTTTCACATACCTTTGATAATTTATAAACTATAGATTGAAGCTATGACTATTACATCAGTAGTGAAGTGAAAAATTAATCAGTTAAAATTACTGATTGATATATACATACAATTATGTTAAGTTAGGCATTCTGGCCACTGTGGAGAAGTATTATATTGTTTTCTTCTTATGTACATATGATTTCTGTATCCTTCTCTTGACTTAAAAGATAATGAATGATGTATGAACAGTACAAAATATCTATTCTGTTGATCCTGTCCTGATTACCACAGTTTTCTCATATCTTAAGTTTAAATTTTGTAGCTCCTTTCTAAAAATGAAGTATTTACTTATTTGTGAATTTACCATGGTTGGTTGTATGATTTCTTATTTTCATGTTCAAATTCTTTTCACGCACAAACACAGTAACCCACTTTTCTCCTTTAACTTGTCTTCTTATTGCTTGAATAGCTACAAAACTAGAAAATATATGAGGTAGCTAATTTGTAAAGGTTTTAAGAGTACATCCCTAATTGTACTCTAAATATGCCAGTCATACTATATTAACATTTCCTTGAGCACTTTTTGCCTGTGTAATTTTGCTCATGCCATGTATTCTGCTTTTATAAAAATCCTCCCCTGTAAGTTCACAGTGTGACTTCCCATTCTGCCTCTCCAGGATGAGGAACTCACCCGGGAGCCCTCCCTACCCCCCTTTAATAAAGCTGCATTAAGCTTTCTCTCGCTCTCTCTGATTTCTTCCTTAAGTCTGCTAACTTAACAAAAATAAACTCAGGAAATATGATTTTAAAAAAGTATGATGTATTTTGTTAATAAGGGCAACAAAATTAGTGAAGAGAATGTAATGCCCCCTTTTCTCACTCCTACCTAATAAGAAATTAATTCATTTAACATTATAAGTAATAACATCAGTAAACAGTGAGCTATGGGCTAGAAGCCTCTTGTTTAGAGCCAATCAGGACCTGGTGGGAAGGCCTGTGTATCTAAAAGTTCCCTGGGCCCCAACTAAGTCTCCATTTTGGAAGCTCATGTATGAAGTGGATGGATTCTGGAAGGTAGGCTCTTTCTTGTTTTGGTTGAGGTTTGGGTGGGGACTGTTTGATGATTTCTTATTTTATTCACAATTATGTGTGAGCTGATTTGATTTGCTGTATTTGAGCTGGGGGCTAGAAAACTCTTGTTTAGAGCCAACCAGGACCTGGTGGGTTGGCCTACATATTTAAAATTTGGTTAATTCTGTTTGTAATGAACATTCTTGTAAGTGGTACAACATTGGTCTGTCTGTTTGCTGTACTGAGGTAACTTGGGGTTACTGTGATGCTGAATGCTGTGCCTCTGGTGTGTCAAATACCATAATGGTTACCCATGGTGGACAGTGTCTGATAGAGTTCCCAGATTAAGAAAGACTTGGAAGGAGGAGTGGCATCCACTTCCTAAACAACATGCCTCTGGAAACTGTCGACCTAGAGAAATGACAATAGTTACAGAGGTTCAGGTCTTTTGTTCATAAGGTCGCTATGGGTAGTACTCTACTTGACAGGTAACAACAACAAACATTTGTTAAACATTTGGCTTAAACATTTAAAAAAATAGGAGAACATTCAAATCCTCTAGATGTAAAAGATAGTATACCAATAAAATGATTTGATTACATGTGTATATAAACAAAACACAATGTATACGACTTTTTCATGTGAACCAATATAAAATAACATTTTAAAAATTATTTTAATACAGACTGTACTTAACTTGACAATTAACATTAAGCAAAATAGTGGATTTGTTGAGGTAATGAGCATTGAAAATGATATATGATGGATTTAGAGTGAATCAGGATAATATATTCCACATCAGAGCACAGTAAGGAGAAGTAGTGCCTCCACTATGGCCAGTATTTGCATATAGACATTCCTTAAATGAGCCAGTTTACAACTGAGAAGGAGTAATGTTATAGCATAACCAGGAATGATAGATCTTAAGTTAACATGGAGATTTGACTGTATGGATCATAACAAACTATAGAGAACATTGGGCAGAAT